CGCCGACAATTATTGCACCAAGTACGACGAGACCACCGGCATTTGTCCAGACGGAGACGAGTAAGTTTTTCATTTTTTTTTTGTGTGCGAGTTTAGATTTTCTGTGTGAGAGAGTTCCTTGTGCGACGCGTTGATACAGTGTTATTCGCATTGAATGTATATGTATCATATATACACACACACACACACACACACATGTATATACACACACACACACACACATACATATACACGCCTACAAAGCGGTGCGCGATGGTGTACAGGACAACATTACTGCTCGGCGTTCGCTTTCGCCGGACAAAGATACGGCCTGCCGTCTCGGCATTTTCGTGATATCGCGGCACGCTCTTTCGCATCGATACGCAGATGGTTGCGCGACATAGGTACACGTAGCGTTACTATCGGCGCGTACGTGTCGCGCGCGCGCGCATGTTTACTTTATACCGCGCGGTATCCCAAAATCGCGTCCTCGCGGCTCTTTTATCCCCCGCGGAGAAGTAATTATTATCTGAGACTCTAACGGGGACACGCGAGCGTTTGGCGAGAAGGGAAAAAAAAAAAGACTACGTGCAGCATTCGTCGCGCGGAATTGCGCGTCATTTTTTTTTTCTTTCGGTATTTGCCTTCGCGTATCATATTATATATGTCAATTAGAGTATACTCCGTTGCATCGCGCGTACGCTTTAAGCCTAGCTTAAAAGCGGCTACACCTTTCTCTCGTCGGATTCCGAGAAACCTTGCGGGAGGATTCTTGGCGCGCGGGCGCGGAATTATGCGAAACGCTTCTCGGAACCGGACTCGGAAGGACATTTTTTTTCCGTGGCGGAATGACTCGAGTTCGATTGTGAAAGATCGGAAATCAAGGCGCGGAGAGGGAGGAGAGAGAGAGAGAGAGAGAGAGATAAAATAAAGAAACGCAGTTCGTTCTTCTCGCGACGCGAGACATTATCTTTGTGGTCGTTGACACGCTTATGCCGTAACGCATACGTAATATGCAATTGCCTAGTGACATCGCGTGTTTTGACCGATATAGCGTCTTCGATATAAGACCTCCGATAATACGATTCTGCGATGATATAACCTCGGGAAATCGCGGTTCTTGTTTACGACGCGGATCGAAGTATATTTATTTTTTCCGAGAACTTTTAATCTCCCGGTTTCTCGAACAACATCTCGATCTTTTTGTAAAACCTGTTGAAATTACTGATATCAATTATACTGCGTGCGAGCGCGCGAATGTTTACCGGAAACAATGACAGTGTAACGTTATTAACTTTGCGCATAAATTAACGTTCCATGTTTAATTTGCACTTTGCTCTAAAGGCTTTGTGACTTGGTTTCGACGGTGGCGATACATACACAGATACTTGCATCGAATATGCATTTAATTTGCGTAAATGCGCGCATTTGCATTTGTAGCTGACATTGTTTAATTTATAACTTATCAATAAATTATTTTATAAGAAACGAAGTAACTGAATTTTCGTTCACGAAGATAGGAAAGGCTTTATCCACCGCAGCATCGATAGCACACGATAGAGTGATTCATTTCTTCGTTTACACGTGCATATATACTTTTTTACAGCAACATTTTTTTGCAGACAGCAGCGACAAAAATAATCTTTAATGCTTCATAGCCGGAGAATATCACGTGGAGTTTGAACGATAGTCGAGAAACGCCCTGCGAATTGGCCGTAAATTGTTTTTACGTTCGTAAATTCTTACTGCGTGCTATATTGCAATGTGAAATAATTTTTTATCGAGCGATCACGAGCTCACGGTGAATTTCATCTCCGAAATTTCCGGCGGTACGTGTTGCCGAACAAAGGAGCCTACTCTTATCGATTTTCCCTTGCGTACTTGGCACGATGGCACAACAAAGAATCACGATGTATCCTTATTCGAATGTTACGTGCGTCGTAAAGTAAGCGTGTCACCAAAGTTTTTGAGCTCGTCATTCGATAAGAATCTCCGTTTAATCTTGCACAGATAAGCGGTAATAAAATTTTGCATTAATTTTTCTTTGATAGTTTCTCACACTTGGCAGGAACATCTGTCTGACATGTGTGCGAAATTCAATTTCTTGTTTCACAACTTTGTTCTCTAATTTTTCTTTTGCTTGTTTTTGTCTTTTGAGATAAATTTAATTTATACAAAGTATTTGTTATTTTTAACAATAATGTAACTGCGGCCTGAGGTGTCATTCGTCATAGGAAAAATACGAACAACAAAATACAAATAACGGAGTTTTAGAATACATAAGATCGTGTTTATTTTATTTATCTACTTATCGAGAGACGGAAACTCTGAAACGGAAATGGAAATCAAAATAGAAGCTGAAAAAAAAGAATATTTTAATTATGCGCATATAATATAGGCTATTTAAATTATACGCATAAAATAGAACAAAAAATAAGATAAATAGAATAAATAATAAAAACGGATTAAGATAAATTACTTATCGTTGTGATAAAAGCCACTTTAGATAAACTAATTTTAACTTGATGGAAAAAAAAAAAAAAAATTACAAAGATACTTAAAACATATACATATAAAGCAGATATTGAATAATTCATGGAGAGTTTAACATAATCGTCACTGATCTTGGGGTGAAATAATTTATGTAAAAGTAAAAAAGTAACGTTTTACCAGAGCTTGATCTAGATTGTAACATTACAACAAAACATTATTTTGTTATATAGGTGTCCGTTCTTACATCGCACTGCAGGGGATACAGAAAGACGTTATCATCTGCGTTACTACAAGACTTGCATGTGCGTCCATGACACCGACACGCGTGGATTTTGCGTGAAGAATGGACCGCATTGCGCTTTTGCCCATGGCAATCACGATCTGCGCCCGCCCGTGTACGACATCAAGGAGATCCAGGCGCTGGAGAATCCGGACTCGGATCCGAACTCCTCGTCCAACGGGCCTAACATACTCGACAAGGAGCGGAACCTGATGAACGAGGATCCCAAATGGCAGGATACGAATTACGTTCTGAGCAATTACAAGACCGAGCCGTGCAAGAGACCGCCGAGATTGTGCCGGCAGGGCTACGCCTGCCCGCAGTATCACAACAGCAAGGATAAGAGGCGCAGTCCGCGAAAATATAAATATCGGTAAGCTTATCAATCTCTCTGGTAACTCGACGACTGAGTTGTGTAATCATTTGTCTGCTGTAAGGATGTTTGTAAAGAGATGATTGTATGTCTTATAATTTTTAGATCAACACCTTGCCCGAATGTGAAACACGGCGAGGAATGGGGCGAACCCGGCAACTGCGAGCAGGGAGACGCCTGTACGTATTGCCACACACGGACGGAACAGCAATTTCATCCGGAAATCTACAAGTCTACCAAATGCAACGATGTTCAACAGGCCGGCTACTGTCCACGCGGAGTCTTTTGCGCCTTCGCGCATGTTGACCGTGAGTGTACACTCGTCAATCGTACGTAAAACAGTCTTATTATGTACACATGTCTCTTTGTCAGTTTAGTGATTCTACAGAGTGTTGTAACTTTTAATGGGCGGATTTCTGAGGCGTATAGAGACAATCAAAACGAAAAGAATTTATATGAACATAAATTGTTACTTTTTCATTTCCGAGGTATAATGGTGTAAAGTTATTTATATTAAAAATCAGGACGAGATGAACAATTATACAGAAATATCGGAAACTATAATTGACTCGATAAGAAAACGTTTGTGAGTTTTTCATATATCAAAAGTGCTTTGAGCTTTGGCGCTACTTTGAGAATTTGTCGAGCCGAATCACTTTTAATTAAATTATTTTTTTGTATGCTTTATTTTTTCTTTGGAAATCTACAATTGTTTGCTTAATCTTGATTTTTAATTGATTTACATTGACAATAACAAATATTTACACCATCGTATTTCAGAAACGAAATGATAATAAACTTGTATAAACTTTTTTTATTTTGGGTGCTTTTATGCACTTCTGAAGTTTGTTTATTAGAAGTTGTAACATTCTGTAGCTGGATTTTATATATCTATAAATGCTTATACATCTGGCTGTTTTGACTATCGTAATTACTTCTATACAAGAGCGAAGTTAATCTGCCGTTTCTCTCGGCGATATAAATTCGCGTACTCGCACGCTTACCAATGCGTTCGCGAATCTTCTCGCGAATTACACTTGGAACACATGTACACGTAGAGAGTCCCGGTTTGACAAATGATAAATCTTAGATCGTCAAAATTGTTTCTCAAAATTGATATATTGGGACGTTGGTATGGTGTGTTGATGGAAGCAGTGTTGCCAACAGAAGAAATGAGCCTGGCGAGGGATATGGCGGTGCCTATAGATTGCGGCGCGAATCTGGCCGATATACTCAGCAACGCTCTTCCACCTGACAAGCGCTCACACGATAAGGATAAGCCACTTAGTGATAGCAGCGTGAGTCTCGATTTTTTATAGTTTTTAGATTTTATTTGTAGACTTGCGAATAAGTCAGGAGAGAATTTACATAATACTGACAGCATTTTTCTTTGACTCGTCCTTTCACGCTTGATTTCAAAGATTTGCAATGTACTTGTATAATGTTAAAGAGTGTTATCAGTCGACTGAATTGCAGAATGGGAGCGGTGAAGTCTCGGAATCCGCCAGCACCAGTAGTTTGGGCAGCAATAGTTCACACAGCAAGGCTCCCGGCGCTCAATTGCATAATTCCAATAATACCAATTCCGGCATGAGCACAGCCGCGCAGCAAAAACTCACCAGCATACTTTACAATCCCAGTTCTCTCATACAAGTTGTAAGTTTCACTCGTTGAATACAACACATTGTGTAATTTACCGCACATGCACTATACGCTATGATAAGAATAATCTCGATTAATGATATTGATTTCTACAGAATGAAATTCGTAAGCAAATGGTTGCAATTGATAGCGATCCATTGTTAACTAAAGCTGAAAAGGCCCAGCAGAAACAAAGCCTCTATATTGCATACAATTTGAATGGAACTTTAGGTAGTCATTCATTAGCAACCACTGTTTCACCGCTTTCCAATTCGTTCTACTCAAATGACACGGTTGAATCTGTAGTAGGTAAGTGGTTGGCGAGTGGTTGCTCAATGTTTACGCAACATTTAACACCGAATGTAATGTTTGATCTTTTTCTTTTGCAGGAAACGCATTAGACGAGTTACACCTAGACGATTCGTTAAATTTAGTCGATCCAATTCATAGGGATACAAATTCACCAATCAACAATTCTATATCGGCAGGCCTAGCTAGCTCTGGTTTACTCGGCAGCTCGGCCCCGGTAAATATACCAGGCATGGCCGAGCGTTCCGTTCTTACGAATTTTTCGCCATCAACATCAAGCCCTTTGCAACAGTTACAGTCTGGTTTTCTTACCGGATCGAGATTCTCTCATCAAGATTCCATGGAATCCGTAAGCCGACTTTACCTCTTTTCCAATTATTTGATTGTATTATGAGAAGCCTCAAATTGTTTTATTGATTTGACATTTCCTTGAATTACTTTCAGACATTGCCATTTATGAATCAAATATCAGATCCATTTAGCAATCACATTTCGCAACTTAGCAGTTCAGCTTCTAAGCTTAGTGGATTCAATAGTAGTTTGTTCGATTTCGCGAGCCAAGGAATGTCCCCGTCGCGTACGCAACCCACTCTACCAGCGTCACCATTGGTCAATGCATTTTCCATTAGTCCAAGTAACACAGGATCGTTATCCGAGGTTAGAATTGCACAGATCTTAGAGTTTTTTTTCCTTTGAGGTATATCTCGTAAATGAGTGGAACGGGATTGTCATATACGCGTATACGTATTACAGGTACAAAGGCTCAGAGACGAGTTGACCTCGAGTCGCGCTCAATTGGCGACGTGGGACGAACGTATTAATCAAGCGCGCGCGGCTTGCGCGGCCTGGCAATTGGAAAGCGAAGAAGCGAAAAGAAAGGCCACCATCGCTGAGCAACAGAGGGACGAGGTGAATATCTCGCCTAACAAACCGCGGTGCTTCTCTTTCGATATCAATCCCAATTTACCGTATTCCAGAGTATGGATTCTTTGCAGGCTTTAATGCAAGTGAAAGCACTCAGGGTTGAAAACGAGGCGTCCAATGGCGGCCCGTATCTTCATTCGGTAAGACGAATAAGCGAGCTCAGGTCACTATCAATAGCCACCTTGAAATCAATTCAAGCGCAATTGCGCTCGGATCTCGAAGAAGTGGAAAAGGTAAGAAATAGAAAAAAATATATAAAAGCTTTATCACTGCTTATGATGCCTCCGAACAAGTATATCGATGCCTTTCGTATATGAATCGATATAGTGAGAGATAGAAGATAATAGAATATACACACGCATACATTTTATTACGCTATATTCTCTCAGGTGCTGTACAGAGAAACGGCGACAAAGTGCATGGTTTGTGAGGAACAAAATCGCGCGGTTACTCTATCGCCCTGTAATCATTATGTGGTCTGCTCGACGTGCGCTCCGAATCAGCGCGAGTGCCCGTACTGCCAGACACCAGTCGTTTCAACAAGCTAAGCCCAATTTTTCTTAGTATCTCGTTATTGTTACAATTTCCACTTCTCGTCCGTTAAAAAAGAAAGAGGAAAAGAAAAAGAGGACAGTTTCTGAGAAAATATCATGTGAGTAGTATCACGACTTTTTGCAAGGACTTATATTTTTAATACTGCGGTACAATGACAAAAAAAAAAAAACTAAACTTCTTATCGCGGTAAGCATGTGTACCCGCAAATAATAAGAATCTTTTAAAAGTATAATCGATTCATCGCCAAAGTACGAGTACGGTAGAACTTTTACGCGTAAAATCTTGTTACATTACGTTGACATTTCTCTCCCGATGTATATCTAGATATTACATTTTTTAAATGTAAAGCTGCAAGGTATCAGCTTAGCAATCCTAAAAGAAAAGAAAAGGTTTTATTTTATACAATAATTCAAGATACATATATATATTTAGCAGGGTGTTAACGTAGCATTTGTGACGCAAAGTGTACGCGGGTTTGCAGAACATTTAGCGCGAAAACAATATAATCGCAGTTGTGGACAAAGTTTCGGGACCTCGAAAACTATATAATTGTTTAAAGAAAAAAATTAATAATATTAATAAACGCAACAAAGGTCTCCCATGTGCATTAGATAATGGGAGGATCTTTTCTGAATGGTTGAGCTGTGAAACGTATGTCACAGAAAAAATGATATTTCTATTGTATTTAAATCTATATATTTAATAGGATTTTCCAATTGATTCGTACTGAATGTAATAATATAAGTATTAACAAATTTTATATTTTTCGTTGAAAACCTAATATTGATGATATAAATACTATATAAGAGGTATATATATAAATATATATGTATGTATGTATAACATTATGTATGTATGATTATATACATATGTGTGTATATATGTACATATATATAATTTCTAGGTTTTTATATAACTAATAACAAAGATTTCTCATATAATTATAACGAGTATCGAGGGAGTTTACAAAACAATCGAAATAGGTAGTGCTAAAACAATTTTATTGCATAAAAGTTATTCTATAAGTATATATAACATTTGTTTTTTATCTTGTTTCCTTTTTTCTTTTTTTCTTTTTCACTTATTCGTTGGATATATAATAACGCTATAGTTTATCAGAAAAAAATCTTTTCACTTCTGACACACATCGAAGTTTACAATAATTAATATTTTTAACAATTTTATATGAAATATGCATGTTTTCATTCTATGATGTGGTTTGTACACATTCTGTACTTTTTGTACTCATGAACACAATCCATTTTTAGGTCTTAAATATGCTTAATTGTACTAGTACTTGCGATGGAGTTATTAGAAGACATTTAAATTAAATAGCGTGTGATATAGTAACGAAGAGATCAATCTTCAACCAATTATTATTCAATTAGATTAACTGAACCAATTACCCTCATTTCGTGTTGTAGGCTTTTACAATTGTAGATGTAAGGATGTTAGAGATATTTAGGATTTTTCAATTTAATCAAAAAATAACTCATATAAATAAATATATATATATATATAAATATATAATAAACAAGTCAAATACAAGTGACATACGTGTTACAGTTCAGTAGCATGGAAGCATGCTAATTAAGACGTGTATGAACGTCTATGTACCCGGCTCTATGCGCATATTCATTTTAAAGATGTAGTTGTTAAACTCTATGATAAAAAAAATGACTATACACTTATGATGAGAAATATATATAAATATATATATTGCCTAAGGTATATATATATATATAAACGATTAGGATAGATAGGACAGCATTATCAAATTTTTTCCTCATATAGACAAGAAATGTTATAATAATCAATTTTAAAGACTACTTTTATTTAATATAGTTATAATTATCATTATGAAATTATTAAATTCAAGTATCCCGCACAAAAAAAAATGTCTAATGACACTTACACGACTCGTAAGGCGTTTATTTAACTTACGCAGAAGTAACATTTTTTGGATTATTCGTCGAGCTTTTTTACACTTCTTTAATATGTGAACTTATTTTAATTAAACAGAGTATTGTAGTAAAACATTCATTTAACAACGGAACTTTGACATTCAACACCAGTTGTTATTGTTTTTTTGGATAATCCTCATTTATCTTTTTCGTCCTCTTTCAGTTACTTTCATAGTTTAGTGTCAAAAAGTGAGGCCAAAAAAGAAATAAATGTTTTTATTACGTCAGTTTTTTTATTAGAGATTATTAATATTAAAATATAATAAATGTTATTAAGAAAAAAAATTAAATTTCTCTATTATGGTATATATGGTCTAAAGATATGCCGTTTTTGTAAAGTTATGCGAAAGAACTATGCAACAATGGGATAAACATAGGAGGAATACATAAGAATTGTTAAAATGCACTTTTCTTTAACATTTTTTATCATCATTGATCAGATTAAGGACTTAAGAAGGACACATAGAAAGACAAAAAGTCTGTCCTTTTGATTATTTACATTTTTAATATCTAGATAATATTCAAGTTTTCAGTTTTCATCTATTTTTCCCGATCAATATAATGCTACAGATCTTTATCTGATAAATAAATCAACGTTTTAGTTTTCTTAGAGGCCGCATATACCATAACACCATTTTCAAAGAACTATTTAGAATTTAAGAAATTAAACATTATAATACCGCATTTTTTTTACCTTTATTCAATGCATTCTTTATAAGTACGGTAATGTTGATAAGATAAAAATATCTATTTCTTTATATATATTTTCTCACGTATCGAAACACGTTTTGGCACTAGTTTATGCGTGTATAAATATTAGATTTGTTTATTAAAAAAAGAAAAAAAAGAGATAAAACGCCCAGCAATCAAAGTGCACCACTTTACATATTTCTCGTTTTATGAAATTAGCGTAGCACATGATAGAAAAAGTAAATTCCAAATTGATACAAATTCAACAATAACTAACAAAACAAATAATTACGGTAGTTTACCGTATTCTTAAAAAAAAAGGGGGGTACTTATAAAGAATGCGAAAGTTTTGCAATGATATTCCACGGTCGAACTTTCCTCCACCGAATTTGTATCTAAGACAACAATGTTACAAAAACAATGGGATCATATCCGAGTTATTAAACAGTACTTTGTACGGAGAAATGCGAGAGAATATGTCTTCATTTTTACACGATTGGAGGAAAGTTGCGATCGCGGCTTGTGTTTGATGGACGTTTAGAAATGATATTCCTGAATAATAGGATTATACGAATATTACAAACAATTACAACATATTATACTATTTTACTTCTATAACAATAACACAATTAAAAATATGAAATATATTAATTAAGAACATAAATTATTGTGAAAGCAACAAATTTAGCTACAAAATAGGGTAATAGGAGAGTAACAAAATGGATGATTAGCGAATATTGTCGTGTAACAAAGAAAAAACATACAGTTGAATATTTATATACTACTGTCCCCGTTGTTGGTTTCGAATATCTCTGGTACTTTAGAATACGAAATTAATGATATACCACCATTACATTTTTTTAAATTATTAGTATCTACAAATTAGAAACGCGATTGGGTCGATTTCGAGAACAGTAGGATCCATTGGTTTCCGAAATTGGAGAGAGAGAAATGTATTATATCGGTAATATTAAGGTATATCGATTAAAATGAAATTCAAAGTTTGCGTGCAATACTGAAATGAAAATTCGTGTCAATATTGAAAGATCATTTTTGAATTAATTTTAATGAAATCTTGTTGAAAGTATGCTCATAAATGTGATGATCTCTGCTTTGAGGCGGTCAGTGCTTTTACCTTCGTTGCACAAAGAAAACCAACAATAGGGCAAATTAAATTGAGCACTATATTTTTGACAAGTTACAATAATACCAATACAAAACGTTACACGCTCTGTCTCGTGCGAATAATTCTTCTCTGCGTTGAAATTAGATAGAGTTTGCGATAGCAATTTATTTGTGCACTAATTGACGACTGTCGGTTACTTTATTTACGCGAAGGAACGGAATGGCGGAATTTTATAACACCAAGGAAGAATCATTAGCACGTCACAGACGAGAAACATACACATAATCACTAAAATATTATATAATAATAAATTGCGTAAAAAAAATTGTAATATCTAAAGGAAATTTGCTGAACATTTATATCACAATTTATAACTAAAAATACTTGCTATAAACCTGTGTCGTCTTTAACCAAACGTAATTTTGATATAAGGATTACTGCATTTGTTATTTTGATAGTGGCATGGCTGACCCTGTATTAGCTGTTACGAAAAAACCTATCATTTTATTCGTAGCGAGATGCGTGTTCTTGTTCGCAAAAATACTTGCTCAATGTCCGCGCGCGAGAACTCGTGGACATTTTTTTTATTCTCAGCAAGAACCAACACCATTATCGATAAGAATGTAATTTGCTGTGACTCGCATTATCATAATTATTGTATTATTTATAATTTTTTAAATATTTATGTTACTATTCCTTTGATCGAAATTGGCTAGCTTATATAGATCGGTTTTCCGTTAACCATTTGCACAGAATGGTCGCTTACTTACATCGCTTAACGCTATAATTATGATACATTACGATATTATAATATTCTCTTAATCATTCGTTGATTTATCAGACTGCAGTTATGATCGATACAAACTTGTGTGATTTAAGTTCAAGCATCTTCGTGAAAAATACAAAATGACAAATGGCTGTATGACTGTGGTTTTAGCATTTACACTTCATCATTTGATATTGGCCCTGCATATTTCCCTTAGAATCATAATAACTTTTTACCATGATAATAGCGAATAAATAATTGTAAAACATTTCTACGTTACATTATAGAACTCGATTTTGAGCATCGGTGATTTCTCTCGCAGATGCTCTTCAGCATATGACATTTGTATGACATATCGCGTAAGAGTTTCAGTATCTGTCTTGTAATTTTGAAATGTAAACTAATACTTAGAAAAATAATTATTCGCACTTTACTTACCTTTAAACATTAGACAAACAAAAATATATCAAAAAATTAGAACGTGTTTTAGCAATTAAAAAAATGATGAAGTCTGAGTAATGAAAACTTGCGAGCAAACCACGCAACAGTCATTTGCGTACTATTTTCTATAAAAATAACATTGAAACACGAGTCACGAGTTCGTATATATTCTTAGAAGCGAATGTAATTGGCCGTGTAATCCGTATGATTTTACATGTTATTTAACATCAGACGAGATTCTGCAATGAGTAAAAGAAACAATTGCATAAAGAAAACAATGTGGAAGCAGTGCCATTTTCAACAGACTTATGAAAGTAATAAAATTGCGTTCTGTGAGAAGTGAATGTGATCTGTTAATGTTTCTAATTTCTATAGATAATCTCGCACTCTCGACTCATGCGGAAGTCGCATTTTTCACTTTCACTTAAAGTAAATTCAGTTATTTTTGCATCGTCGAACAAATTCTGCTATAAATAACAAAGATTGTAAGTTTCTAATCTGCTTTGCATATCGACACTTTCTGCACTTACCGAGAGTGCGGGATTCTATATAGGAATACATCCTCTTAAATATATTTTACTATTTTTGCAATATTTTGCGGTAAACACCGTCTTCCGGTACATTATAATATTTAGGCGTAATCTAAGAATACCGAAATCGATTGCAGCGCAAGAAAGAAAAGTAACAGAGACGTGATTTATAAATTTTACTCGTAAGAGCTTGACATAGGCATTGCTCTCTCACTTCGATACACTTTGGATACGCTCGATATAGAAAAGATGATATTTATATATTGTGTGTAACTTCTGATGTTTAAAAGCAATGTACTTATGTGTTAAGCGGTTAAGGTACTAAATACTTTGCAGACTATTGCATGAACGAATTGTATCTGTTCACGTCTTACGCTCGCATGGTGTGTCTGTGAATGTTTGATGAAAAACGTCGGGGTTTGTCTGCAAGAGTTGCAAACGAGTCGCAATGCGAAAATCAGAATACCTTTCGTTCGTGCAATGCAATCGTTGCTTTCACAGGATGATACTAACATACCATGTATCGTTTCTCATTACACGATTTTACGAAATATTCCCGCGCAAGGGAGAAGGAAATTTGTTATCGACATTTGAATAATTGAAATGAGGACCGCATTTTCTTGAAGAGAAACTCTGTAGAAACACGTTGACACCATAGAATGACATCAAGACTGCTGTAACTTATTATCGCATAAGTATAATTTCAAACGCAAGATTGTTTGCACAGAAAAGAAAAAAAAAAAAGATTCTTCACCATTACTTTTTACAATTCTATTCGCTTCAAGCATGCGCAAACGAAGATTTTCTTAATATTTCCTAGAAATTGATAATTTTTTAGCACTTATTTTTTATGTCATGTAGTTTTTAAGACGTAGATAGCGTTTATGGCAAATAAATTGAAAATTATGTGTATCATGCTCTTATACAATTTAATATATTGAGATTTCTTTTAAATCTACAATATATAAAGGGTACCGAGCTTCTTGCAAACATTTCTACTCACCGTATTTTAGTCGATAAGAGATTTATGTGGTGAATGGGACATCCGATCACACAGACTTGCAATTTCAAACGCAGTTTAAATGGGGTTGATCGTAACACGCCCGATCGTCCTGTGAAAGAAAACAACAGACATATTCGATTATAAATTACTACGAGTGGTGATAAGAATACAAAAATAACTATTACAATAATAGGTAACACAAAAAAAAAAAGAAAAAAAAACAAGTTAAAGATCTCTATGATGGCTGTCGTTCTCATCGTAGTTGCTTCTACATATGTATGCACTTTATATATAAATATTCTTGATTCCCCCGATTCATATCCCGCATAATTTTTGGTATAATGCGGATTTTGTACGTTTTTAAAATTTTCTCATGCAGAGAGTATTGTAATATCTCACAACTATCAAACACATCGCATATATCGAACGTAATATGGATTTATCACAAGGGATACTCTATAAAAGACTCATGATATCAAGAAATACGTTGCAACAATAATGCGGCGCGAAAAAAAAATTGAATTATTAATTACACGAACTTTAACGTTTAAGATGACGGCTGTATAAGATCGTCTGATGAAAAAAATTTAGGATCGTAAACGCATAACACTTAATTATTCACGTTCTGGATCGTATAAGCCTCGTCGCAGGAAACAAGTGAATTGAAAGAAATTGATATGATTTTCTGTAGAATTAAATTCCCCTTGAATTTTGTGAGATAAGTGTCTATATCGGTTTCTCTTAATTCACTCTTCTTTTTTTTCTTTCCTTTAGAAGAAATCTTTTTGTCTTTGCGCGTTATTCAAGATTCAGAGTCTATTGGCCGTATTAAATCGGGATGTTAAAGAAACTACGAGGAATCACAGCGCAAGATAATTTTGTTACGCCATGGAATGTTTATGTCGCTCCCTTTTTCCTTCCCCCCTTCTCTCTCTCTCCTTTCTCTCCTCTCTCTCCTCTCTCCTCTCTCTCTCTGTAGCAAATTCTAACGGATATCAGTACAAATCTACAACCTTGTGTAAGAATTAATTAAACGAGGAATGCATCGCTCGGATATGAACAAAAAAAGAAATTACAATATTGACGACACGTATTTTTGGCAATACAGATTTAAAGGATACCGAGTAGCGTGTAGTAGTTAGATAACCAATAAAATAAATTTCGTTCAAATATTTTTTTGATGACTGAAAGTTTATATACTATAAAAATTAATAATGATAACTATGATGTACGTAATTCGTAGGACGGATGTTCGTTATTGCTTCTTATGCTATTACTTTATAAGTTGTGTATTATAAAAATAAATATTGTAAATCAATAAAATTGAATCAATTTTATTTTGTATGATGCGATTATTTTTTATCAGAGCGGTATGTGCGTTGAAAATTCATTCAGTCAATTGACGATTATATGCAAATAAGACATTAAAAACATTTTATGATGGAAATGTAGAGAAGACAGATCTTTAATGATCAATATTTAAATCATACGCTTTTTTTTACATTACGCGAGAATTGCGATGTTATTATCATATTGCGTTGCGCATATACAAAGATGCGTCATTAAGAATCATAATTATTCAGTAATTATCGGTATTGCAATGTATTGTGCAATAATTTTCCCTAGTAAAACTTCAAGGAAATATACATTTAGACTGAAAAGTGACTCTTTTTTCGGAAAGCTATAAATATTTAAAAATAAATATAATAATTTATGTTTGATATGCTTTTTTATATCACAGTTGACAGTCAAGTTCCATGTTTTAAATCTAAAAAAATCTTATCACGTTTAATACAAGAATTTGTTCAACAAATGTTTATTGCGCTTTCAAATGTCCCATCTGTAGGATGTCATCAAATTTAGTACAGTAACCAATGTTACCTTAATTGATTATTCAGTGCTCTTTATTGTCTACTGTTACCGCAAATGTTTACGGTATACTCTTAGATGACAGTACCATAAAAATTTCATTCTGGAACACGGTGTAAGAATATAAGGTGATTTCACGACCATTGTATTCTATCAAAAAATCTGTGATCAAAATGTCATAGTTAAGGCATGTCACACAAGATGTCACGTTGGTGCAAGATCCCAAGTAAAAAAGGATAAAAGATGTGGATAGATGTGGATAAAAAAGGATAGATGATGAATCTCTAAAGCACATCTATATATAATTATAGTCCTAAATAATACAAATTTTTTAAAATAAAACTTTTAACATTGTGTATAAAAATATAT